GGTTTCACCATGTTGGTCAGGCTGGTCTTGAACTCCTCACCTCAGGTGATCTACCCGCCTTGACCTCCAAAGGGCTTGGATTACAGGCATGAGCCACCTCGGCCAGACTGAATCCTTTACTCATGTCCTTCTTTGTCTCAGTAGACAATGGTGTTTAGATCTAAGTGCTACGCCTTTGGGTTGTAAATTTTGACTTCAGAGTCAAATCTTTGAAAGTGTAAATTAAGGATTATGTTGCTAACAATTGTTTAGGGCTTGATAGTTTAAAGAGAGGAGAGAAAGTATTTAAAAACTAGCAAATGGTAGCCAGGGGTGGTGGCTCACACCTGTAATCCCAGCACTTTTGGGAGGCAGAGGTGGGCAGATCACAAGGTCAGGAGTTCGAGGCCAGGCTGCAGTGAGCCGAGGCGCCACTGCACTCAAGCCTGGGCAACAGAGCGAGACAGTCTCAAAAACACTCACACACACAGAAACAAAAAACTGGCAAATGAAGAAATTTATTAAGCTACAGAATCTGCTTGTGTCTGTATGTGTATTGTTTATGTATGTCATGTGGATATATTTCATTACCAAAATACATGAAAGCTCTAATTAATTGGGCTAAAGAAAAAATAGGCCAGGCATGGTGGCTCAAGCCTGTAATCCTAGCAGTTTGGGAGGCTGAGGTGGGTGGATCACAACGTCAGGAGTTCCCGACCAGCCTGGACAATATGGTAAAACCCCATCTCTACTAAAAATACAAAATTATCCAGGCATGGTGGGGGGTGCCTGTAGTCCCAGCTACTCAAGAGGCTGAGGCAGGAGAATCGCTTGAACCCAGGAGGCAGAGTTTGCAGTGAGCCGAGATTGAGCCACTGCACTCCAGCCTGGGCAACAGCAAGACTCTATCTTGAAAAGAAAAGAAAAAATAAGCACTTAAATTCTGTATTTTATCAGAAAAATAGAAACTGACTCAAATGCCTTTTAGTTCAAATGATTTGTGTAAATTGTTAGTAAATAAGACTAGTTTAAGATTGTTAATTTAATAAAAAAAACCATGTCCTCTGATCAAAATACCCATGTATTTAGCTTTGGAGTTCTGGCTAAAGTGCTAAGTTCCTAACATCTGTGAGCTGTAAAAATAATTAAAAAAAAAAAAAAAAAAAAAAACCTGAAGATAATGGTGTAACTGCTCAATGGGTTCACCTGGCCCCCTGCCTAGACAGAGCAGATTTCTCAAGACACAGGAATTGCAAAAGAGAAAGAGTAATTCACACACAGCCAGCTGTGCGGGAGACTCGAGTTGTATTACTCAATCAGTCTCCCCAAGCATTTAGGGAGCAGAATTTTTTTTTTTTTGAGACAGAGTCTCACTCTGTTGCCCAGGCTGGAGTGTAGTGGGATGATCTCAGCTCACTGCAACCTCCATCTCCCAGGTTTAAGCAATTCTCTGCCTCAGCCTCCCGAGTAGCTGCGATTACAGGCACCTGCCACAATGCCCGTCTAATATATATATATATATATATATGTGTGTGTGTGTGTATATATAT